AAGGCTGAAATGGCTCAATATGGCACAGTGACTTCTACCCCAGGAATCTGGCAAAGAGTGCCTAGAAGCTATTGCAGCCAAGTTCAGGATACAGAAAAACATCTGCATGCTAGATTGTGGCATCTGCTGTAGGACTGATAGAGCAGAAATCATGTGAGACTCATCTACTTTCCCAAATCTCATTTGTTCAAATAATTGCTTTTGGGAAAGAATCTTACTTTGAAGTTTTGTAGCACTTTCCTTTTTTTCTCTTAATGGGAAGGCAAACAGTTTATATGTGAAAATGCTTTTGTGGGAGAAGCAGGAGATGCTGCCAATAATGTTTCCTAGTAAGACCTCTCATTTTTTTTTAAATGGATTATGAATTATCTTGTGATAGATAGCTCTCTTACAGAAAATGAACTAACTACTCCATTTGACTTTGTATTCATTTACTTTTTTTTACAGGGACCATATTTATACTGTTGATATGGACACATCATATACAGAAGAAATTTATTTTAGCAAAGTAAGTAGCTTTTATCATCATCCAGAAACCAAGGACACTAGAATAAGCTTCAAATAAATAGGATGATGACATTGTTTTAAAGAACTTGCCAGCACTGCTGTAAAATTGTAACAAGAAAGTAAGATGGCATTGCTAATCATATTTGGGGAGAGCTAGAATAGCAATTGTGTCCTCTGCAAATTTCTGATAAGTGGTTTAGCTGGACTGATAAGCAATCTGTACTGAAATATGGTGAGTCCTTGATGGAACATCTGTCAAACATCTATTCATTTATATGCAGCAGTTTTCTGTAACAGCTAGACTATCCCAATTAAGTCTACTGAAACTTTCATCATAAGAAGCAAGTTACATATTTTCATGTGCACAAATTTTTTTCACTTGTGCAAGAACTGGCTAAATAAAATCTTACTATAACATTACTTGGTAGATGTATTCACATTATCTCCATGGGAAGTTGCATTCAAATGAAGAAAAGCTTTGTCTGCTTTACTGTAATGTATGTTAACATGAACATACTGAAAATAATCTCCCTTCTGCTCCTTTGCATTGCATTCATATTGTGTAACACATGTTAAACACAGTCTTGGTTTAACAAAATATCATACAAATTTGGGCATTGGATGAATTCCACTGGAGGAGGGGACAATGCTTCATTATAAGTATGAATGATGCTGAAAATGATCTTTTTAACTCATCAAAGAGTGAAGTCCCAAGCTTGTAATGGAAATGAACATTCAGGGTTACTCTTTCAGCTGGGACCCCTCCATGAATGCACAGTGCCTCAGTTTACTGATCAGGAGCACTGTCAGAACTATCATGGCAGTCTAAGGTGATGCCATCTTAGGCCATGTGATTTTAAACAATATTTTATTATAATTAATAAGCCTTGCACATCTGACCGTTTTTGAAACTCATCTCAAAAAAAACCCAACCTGGCTGGGATTTACCTGTAAATCTTTGGGAGGAAGTGTTAGCAGATAAAGTCAGCAGTGTCTTGACAGGTGAAAAATTCTGGGAGCTTGTTAGCTGAATAGAAGTGGTAAGAATTACCTGAATTTTATTTCTTTCCAGATCTAAAATGTTGTCTTTGAGAATGCATATTTCATTTGGAATCCCTTGAAGGTTCATAGTCCATAAATGATAATTCTGACTTGTAGAGCAATATCAATTAAAAGAAGACAACATCTAGTACTTTTAAGAAAAGAACACTTCTTCAGTGTTGGCCTATTGTTGAAGTCTGTTAGTTTAGGTTTTAAAGAAAGAGGGATGGGTTCCCAGTCTCATGAATTGGAGGCAAAACAAAGGTAAATGAAGACTCCACATCACTTAACCTTCATTGTTTTGGTGAGTTAATCATGGAGAAAGAGTACAGAAAACTTTCAATAAATGTATGTTCAAAAGCTAGTCTCCCCTAGGGGACTTCTACTTCTGAAATCAAAAGTAAAAAACCTAAGTTCTAATTGATTTCTCTCTTTATTCTTGCAGAAATTGACATGGAAATCTAGACAAGCTGATGTAGACACGTGCAGAATGAAGGGAAAACATAAGGTAGGCAATTTTCATTTCTGCTGCAACTGCCACTTTGGTTTAGTTGCATCACTATTATCTCAGGCTGCTGTCTGTGATGTGGAATGGATCGTGCCATTCACTTCTCACCAGTAATTGTTTTTTCCATCAACTCACTGAAGGCCTTAATTTGCAAAAATAGTTCACTTTGAATGTGATGAAATATTACGACAGAAGCCACAGCAATATCTTGAAAATACTTCAGGCACTGAGCAGGTAACAGTGCACTGATTTTGCTTACCATTGCTTCAAAGGCCGAGTGCTGCTGTCCATCCCTCATGGGAATTTACTGATAAGTCCGGTTAAAGAAACAAAAAATGTGAATGTGGGGCTGTGGAAGGACTGTTTCTCACACCAGTTTTGCCCTCCTGTGGCCTATGACTGGCACAAGTAGTATCATAATTAGATGTAGAGTCTTTGGTTCTTTACATCTACTTCCCCTTCCAGTTACAGAAGCTTTATGCCAGTACATTGTAGTGGTGCTGTCACCACTGACTGACAGTGGCACAGGTGACAACATCAGATTTTTTCGCTCTTCAGGAAAGCAACAGTTTTCAAACAAAATTCACCTTTGTCAACAGCAGCAAACTAGGAGCTATAATAAGAGTGCTGTATCTTCAGCTCTTTTTGAACCACTAGAATATAAATTTTTGAACCACTGGAATATAAATTAATTACAACTTTCTCATTCTCAGTTAAATATAGTCAAAATAAGGCCAGAGTATCACAGTGGGTACCAGCCAATTTAATTTTAAACCTCACAGTAAAATACCACTTATTAAAAATAAAAACTAAAAATGCAGCAGTTGAAATAGTTTTTATTATTTTTCTTCAGGATGAGTGTCATAACTTTATTAAGGTTCTCCTAAAAAGAAATGAAGATACACTGTTTATCTGTGGAACAAATGCATTCAACCCTTCTTGCAGGAACTACAAGGTATGTAATCTGTGGAATTTCACTTATGCCTTGTCTTTTGGTTGGATCTATTGTGACTATGTGGGCAGCAGCATGAGATTGGCATTCAGCTGTGCACCATCCAACTCTTGAAAAATTTGTTCTGACTTGTTTCAGTGCTGCTGAGTTCAATGTTGATTGGATTTCTGGGAAAATCTGAGACTGAACATCTAGTTCTTTGCAACTCCTGTACACCAAGAGTATTGCCACTTTGCATTGCCCTCCATAGGTGCAGAGTCCTTCAAATCCCTGTTTGGGGATGTAGTCACTCCTCAGAAAGTTCCTCAGCTTGTCACTGACACATCAAGTCATAGACTAATATTGGGGGTTACTTCTGAGTAGCATGTTTTAAAATTTCTGTTATACTGTTGTCAATCTTAAAACCAGTTCTCAAGATGCCTGAGGACATAGCAAGCAAAACCTGAGTTTCTTGTGAGCCCCCCAGATAGGGACACTGTGGAGATCCTGTGCTTTGTGTGCTGTGAAAGTGATGGAACAGCAAATCTCCACACGGAGCAGTGCATCAGGACAGTGATGTATTCCTCACTGCAAAGCCAAAATGATATCTAGAGCAGTGTAGAAACTTTGCTGGTCCATGTGTACTTGACATTAATGCTCTGAAGCCAATTTATTCCTTGGGTATAGTGTATCCCAGTAGTCTCTATTCCAATAGGACCCATTTATTGAAATGTTTCCCATTTTCTTAGGCTTTCAGTGTTATATTCTGATATAACACCCAACAGTGGACATCTCTGGAGTAGCTTTGAGATTAATTTTTTTTAGGCTTTTGACATCCAGATTCTTTTTTTTTTCTTTTTCCAGATTCTGCTTTTCTGGGTACTGTTAAGTCCCACCGGTCATTTCTCATCTTTTTTCTGGAAAAATAAAATTCAGTTTTACTAATGCTGCTCCTGATAAAATCACAACTGTCATTCAGGTTTTGGGTTCAGATTTATTGTAGAAAAGCAGGATAAAGATGTTAACATCCAGAAGAACTATTTCCCTAGTGGTATTCACTGTGACTGCTGCCTTTCCTTGATTTTTGTGCAAGGTGCTTTACCTCATTTAGCCACTATAACTTAAATTTAGAAAACACAGGAGGGAAGAATGCAGGGTAGTATTTTCTTCCAGTCCGTGGAGGAAGAACCAGATTTGAGTAAGAATACAAGCCTGTGTCATGGTAACTGTGAGGTACAGTTAGCTGCTCTGTTAACAGCTGTTTCTTTTATTCTTTCTTTCCTTGCCTGCTCCTAGTATGCAATGAAACTTCTTGATCTCAAAACTGTATTTAGTCTTCTAGTACAGTTTGTAATTTTTTATCTCTGAATGCCATTAATGAGCCTAACAAATCTCACCCAGTCTCCTTGCATGGAAGTTGTATTTTAGATACAATTACAGCTTTCTTTGGCGTCCTGATATGAGGCACATTAATGGCCTCCTCACCCTTTCTCCAGAGCTTTCATCCCCTGTGATGCAGGGCTGGATAGTGATCCCGCTGGCAGTTTCTAGAACGGCTCTGCAACACCTGCCCTGGCTTTTCCTACATGTGTTCCTTCATTATACAGAGAGAGAACTAAACATGTGCCAAACAGAAAGCAGGGCTCTCCCTCAAACATGGCAGTGGTTGTGAGGATGTGGAGCTTGCTGCATGAAAAGTCCTCTCACTATCACATGAAATGCTTTTCAAAGCCTTTGAGTAAACACAACTAACTCCCCTCAGAGTGGATTTGACAGGAAGGATACATTACAGAAAACAAATGATCACAAATCATCCTCTGAAGGACTCAGAAGCTGTAGCATGCAAATTAAAAGTTGATTTAAGTTGATGGTACTGTGTGGGTTATTTCTCATGCTCTATGAATCTCTGCTGTATGTGATCTATACAGTAGGATCCGGACAAGTTGTCTGAATATGCTACAAAGATTCTTATTCCCAAAATACTGTAGTATGAGCATCTTAAACAGGTAAGAGGTGTACAGTTCTCCCTCAGCTCCTTCCTGAACTTCATGTAAAGTCAGTCTGTATATTTGTGTCATTGTCAGTGCCCAGGGTGAATTTATTTCCCAGAAGCTCCAGATAAGCCTCAGAATTTACAATTCCTGCACAGATTAACTCTTGCCTGGTGGTAAAAGGATTCTCTGCACCAGGACTCAACTGGTGTAGTGAAACTTGAAGAGCATCTTTCTGGATATGCAAATCAAGGAAGAGAGCACCACTGTTAAGATTAGAGCAGAAGGATCTCTGGTCCTGGGGGAGAAAAATGCACACAGAGATAATTGTCCTAGTGTTGTTTCTTCTGAATGCTGTGGTTTGCAGCCTTTTCTGTGTATAAGAGCGCTTCTGTTGGGTCACTGTTGAGGATAAATTTTGAAGCCTTGCCAGAACCACAGACCACATAGCCTGCTACAGTTCAAAACAAAACTTGTGTGCAGATAAAATATAGACTGAAGACTTTTATAAAATGTGTCAGGGTGAGAATGATTAGTTCCAAAAGAATGCCTGACTTACTAGACATACTTTTTTCAGACTTACTTTATTTAGTACCATGATTTTTGTCAAGTTTTTACATCATAATTAGGAGTAGAGTTAGAGAAAGGGCCTTCTTCTCTGCCCAGAAAAGAAGAAACATCTCTTCTGAGAATAAGCCTCATCCTGGGTAAGAAGTTTTGTTTTTTTCTTTCTCTATCTGAGGAGCTCCCATTGATTTTTCAGATGGATACCTTGGACTATCTGGAAGAGGAATTCAGTGGAATGGCCAGGTGCCCCTATGATGCAAAGCATGCCAACGTTGCATTGTTTGCAGGTAAAATGATGGAGATAAACTTTTTACTTTATGTCCTGCAGCCCAGGTGTGGGATAACAGTGTGCCTCTTGCTTGAGCTCAGAATGCCTAAATCTAAAAGGTGTCAAAGGATTTAACAATGACTAAAAAGTGAGGGTGTAAGGAAATTCCTAGCAAAAAAAAGCCTTCCCTTCTCTGGAATTAACTCCACTGTCATCAATATTTCATGAAGTCTGAGTTTCCTGGATCAGAATTTCAGTGTTTCCTGTATTCTTGATAATATGGCCAGTATGAGGCACCATTTCTGGCTGCATCCAGCTCCTGTGAACGTCAAAGGAAGTCAAGGCTTGTGTAAGCTTTAATGAGGATTAAGCAGGATATGTTCTTTAACAACTCTAAGCCTAAGTGAACATTCATAATAAGAGGAAGTTAGGGAAAATGCTGTGGCGTGCCCTTTTCTAGTTCTAGAAGGAAAGGGAAGGTGATTTTTTTTATTTTAAAGCTGAAAACATCTTAATATGGTCTTACCAGCTGCTGCAGACAGAAGGAGGGAAGTGTATTGGTTAACGGTGATTTATGCTGCATGCAGCAGAATAGTGTTAACTCAGATTTCTGCTACAGTTGTTAGAAAAAGTGAGATCTTATAAATGGGGTTAATTTTGGCTGTTGATTGTGCAGTATTTTTGTATATCTCTTCAGGAATTCCTGATTAAATTATTTCTTTATTGAACTTCTCTTAGTGTGAACCCTGCTGATCTTTTCTTAGATCTGGCTGTTAGATAGGTGGTGAAAATAATAAAGACATCATCCATGATAATGTAAGTCCTCCTCAGCAGGTGTGATGCTATAAAACAGAGCCTGGGTACTGACATGGAAATAACTAAGCTATTCCTCTGACGACTTAAGAATGTGCAAGTATTTCAGCCATTCTCAAATGAGTCCATAGCCAAAGGGCCCTATTAAGCACTACTATGTTTGAGGTATTGTCATCTGCCTCACAGAGATTTTACAACCTGTTTCAATTTTTTTTTTTACTCTTTATAGTGCAAATGAATGGGTCCTTTTGTTTCAAGAATAGTGAGTATGTGATTTCTTAATTACAGTCACAGGCAGAAAGATACAGTAGAAATTCTCTAATTGTAGCAATTCATAAAGCATGGAAAGAGAGCAACTCCTTCAGAGAAATATTTTCCCATGTATTTCAGACTCTATTCTTAGTGCAGTCTGAATGACCTTCCAGAAGGGTCTTTCTCAGTGTATTGGCCAAGAGTTTATGACCAGTTTATTGTAAACATTCACTTTGAATACAGATGAAGTTCAGAAAGATGACTCCAAATTTGTCACTGAAGAAATCCTTGTATTATTTGAAAATAAAGAGAATATTTATAGAAATTATCATACTCCTTCATGGTGATTCAGAATAAATTTGATACAGTTCAAATAAATATTTGTAGAGTATGCTCCATAAATCTGCTAGCTTCAGCAAATCACTGTTATATATATGTCTTACATATTGATACCCATGCTAACTTTTCAGAGTGCAATGAAAGAGAACAGTTTCAGAACAGTTTAGGGCACTAATCCAGGTCATCTGAGTTTGTTGGATGCACTTACATGAATATGGCTCTTCTTGCAGCCTGTAGCTATTATAGCTGAAATGTGCGAACTGTAGTGGGTCACAGGAACTTGGCAGGAAAGAAAATAATAGTGTGGTTGTATTAACATGAGTTCAGACATCCATATCTAAACAACTGAGCTTTTTATTCGATTTTAAATTGGGTGGGGGGTGGAATGGGACACGTTATAATTATTTTTTCTGTTTTGCTAAGAAAAAAATTATCATTCTTAGGTAGCCAAATAAGGACAAGGATTGCATGACTCAGAACAAAGCATACTGTACTGCTAATAAAAAACAGTCTGAATTTTAAATCTGGAGTTGAAATTCACAGACTCACAGAGTTTCTAGGGTTGGAAGGGAGCTCTGGAAATCATCCAGCCCAACCCACCCTGCCAAGGCAGGGTCACCTACAGCAAGTGATGCAAGAATGTGTCCAAGAGGGGTTTGATTGCCTCCAGACAGGGAGACTCCACAGCCTCCAGGGTAAGGCTGGTACAGTGCTCTGCCACCCTCAACATAAAGAAGTCCTTCCTTGTCTTGAGGTGGAACTTCTTGAGTTTCAGTTTATGGCCATTGCTCCTTGTCCTGCCACAGGGCACCAGTAGAAAAGGTCTAGCACCATCCTCTTGGCCACCGCCTTTCAGACATTTGTATGCATTAATGAGATTCCCTCCCAGTCTTAAATTAATTGTTGTCTGAAAGTATAATGAGGAGAGCTTGACCAATAGAAGCCTCTCTGCTTTGTCCTGAGAATGTCCTCAGTCCTGGTGCCTTCAAGGCACCAACATAATCTCTGTCAAAGGAGATGTAGACAATTCTGATTTTTATGCAGATGCAATAGAGACACAATTTTATGCTCATGCTGCACCACTTGTGCTTCTAGCAGACATCGTGTTCCAAGACCTCATACATGAAAACAGTCCTGTACAATTACCAAGACCTGCAAACAGAATAGACAACAAAAAAGTTTTAAAATGTTGCAGAACCTTGTGCTTTTATGTCCTTATAATTTTGTGTGTTTTGGTTGTCCTTGGGGTGCCATTTTCAGGCCTATCTTACCACTTGTACTCCATTCTTTAAGAGAAAGGAATCCATAATTCATATGGGAAATGCCTAAAATGCATGCTAGAGAAGAAATATTGATGGGCAATCCTCCTCAATCTCTTTTCATTCCTGTTTCTGCAGGGGCCCCAGCACATGCTATTTAATTTTTTGTTAGTGATCTTTGGCAGAGCAGAAGTGCTCTCAAGGGGAGAAATTTTCATAAGTGTCAATTAGCTGATGGTCTTCAAGTTCTGTCTGGTTTGCACTCCCAGTTAAAACTAACAATTCTGTTATATTTGTTTTGCTGACGTACCTAGGCAGAATTTCTGAGCATTGGACTAGTGGCATGTAACTGGATAGAGTAGTTCAGTATGACATACCTAAACTGAAGAAGAATTATTCCAAAAGGTTCTTTTCTTCCACAGGATCCCTCTGAAATTGCCATTTTGCAAAGCGGTGACTTGCTTTTCCAGTGCTCAGTTCCATTTACCTAGCTGGATTTTTTCCCTTCCTTCAGTGTTCCTAAGGAGACTGTGATGGCTTTGTTTCCCCTTCTCATCTGACTGATGAGAGAAGAAGCAATTGTATTATTTCTAATGCTCCTCCCCTCTTGTTTCTTCTTTCCATCCTCCCCAGAGGGAAAGCTGTACTCTGCCACAGTGACCGACTTCCTTGCAATAGATGCAGTCATATACCGGAGCCTTGGAGACAGCCCAACCCTGCGGACAGTTAAACATGACTCCAAGTGGTTGAAAGGTAGATAAACAAGCAAGGCGAAAAAAGCAGCATCTCTGATGAGAGTCTTGGGTTTCTGACAGACCTCTTTGTCATTTCAGTTCACCAGTGCTTTCTGGCAGAAAGAAGGAAGTAGATTACATCTCTTGCTTGCTCTGATCTGTTTATCTCTTTCTCTCTTCGCCAAGTTACTGGATTTGACAGAAGCTGTGAGCTGGGTAGATCAGAATATGTATTCCAGTGAGCTTTCCAAGCTGAAATCCACCAGTTTATGTGTGTTGGTTGGAAAATTGGAGCTTGCAGGGCTCCATGTGCTTGGGCTGTGTTTGAAAATATTCCTGCCACAGCACTGTTAGGTAACAATCAAGGCTTTATGAAGTATAAAAGGTTTGTCCTGTAATGTTAAAATTCATTCCTGATACTAAAATTATGGGAATATTGCACAAAGCCTTTCTGTTACAGTTCTTAAGGATTGTACTGCTGCCGTTGAATTAGGCAATTTTTGTGCTCTAAATGCCCTCATTGTTAAGGGTGGTGCTGTTTAGCTTCATGTAGGTGTTAAGAATTGTTAGCATTTGGAGTGATTTTAACAGAGCGCAAAGCCATCGTTTCAAGTCCTTTTCTGCATGCAGAAATGTTTTGCCAGGTGTCAACTTTAGCTGTCCCACTTTGCTTGCTGCTACAGACACGTGTGGGCAGAAACAGTTACGTGGTTTGTTATTCCCTCAGCTCACAGCCTGCCTGCCATAAAGAGCGCTGCTCGGTCCCCTCAGGCATACAGTTATAAATGCCTGTTTACCTTTCCCCTTACTCCATCAGGGCAGATGTATTAGTGGCAGAGACTTAACTACCTTGCAGTGATGTTGCACAGACTTGTTCCCAGCTCTCCTGTCCCCAGACAGTGATTCTTCTGCAGCAGTGATTTGTTTGTTCTGAAAACTGATCAAGTTTGTCAAGCACAGACGTTTCACCTCTGGATGTTAAGTGTGAATGTATTTGGCCTTTCTTTGCATTCTGTATGCTGTACATGTGCCTAAATCAGGTGTCTTGGGTTGCTGTTTTTTTTTCCAGAACCATACTTCGTTCAGGCAGTTGATTATGGCAATTACATATACTTCTTCTTCCGGGAAATAGCGGTGGAGTACAACAGCATGGGAAAGGTAAGGGCAAAACAAGGTAAAAATATTGCCTTGAATGACTTTGTCAGATTCAGGAGGAGGAAAACTTATGCTATTCTTGGACCAATGCTGTTACAAGTGACCTTGAAATGAGAACCATAAATCATGATGACAAGGTCAGAATTTTGAGAAGATTCCTATTGCTCAAGCCAAAAGGTTGGCTGGCGTGAAACATTGCACTGTCTTGAAAGGAAAATGTGTGGTTTCTTACAGTGATGGTGTGTGCTAGAGTCTCTTTTCTGAAATTATAAAAAGCACAAGGCTAATCTATTTAGTTCAGCATAGTAGATAATTGTTAAAATGGATTCCAAAGCAGGAAGAAATTTTTCTGTAAGAAATATGAATTAGAGTGCTGAGTGAACAGGGGTTGGAATTTTGTGCTCTGCAAAGTTCTGCAAAGAATAATTAAACACTTTCTGCATTTTTGCTAATTTCACAATAGCTTTCTGACTAAGCAGTCAGAAAAGCTGACCAAGGTCACAAAGGTGGAGAGCAGGAATAAAAGCCCAGCGAGATTTGCATAGTTTTTAAGTGCTGAAAACAGAGGAATCAGAGCAGTAGTGTGGGTTGCAGGGATGGTGAATATGAAATGTGCTTTTGTTTGGGGAAATGGAAAGCTAAGCAGTCTGTATGGAAATGAGTTTTATATGGGTTGAGAACAGATCTCCTGAAGGATTTATGGCTGTATAGTAAATGCCACAGTCTTATCTTTCATAGCACACTGTTCGAAAGCTTAATTTTTCTCTGTTTCTTATTTGTCACAGATTATAGAAAAGTGGTATTAAATTAAGCACCTTGCTGAGTTATTCCAGAGGTTTTAAAAGCAGTATTCCAACGAAGTCTTTAGGTCAAGCAAACATTTAATTTTTCTCCATTATTTTTGATCTATTCCTTCCAGGTAGTTTTCCCAAGGGTGGCCCAGGTTTGCAAAAATGACATGGGAGGATCTCAGAGAGTGCTGGAAAAACAGTGGACTTCCTTTCTCAAGGCTCGGTTGAACTGCTCGGTTCCTGGCGACTCACACTTCTACTTTAACATACTGCAGTCAGTTACAGATGTTATCCATTTCAATGGTCGGGATGTTGTTTTAGCAACATTCTCCACTCCATATAATAGGTAATAACCTATTAACAATAACCTTTTACCTTCTATTTCCTTTATGTTTTGCTTTTCACTGCAGTTCCTTTTTGCTGCATGCAAGCATGAGAAGTGACTGCTCATACAACGTAATTATTATGTACCCTGCACTTTTCAGTGGTTTGTGTTTAATTTTAAGGTACCCTGATATTGCTTACTTCGTACCTGATGACTGAGGGTGGCTTTCAGCTATTTTCTGTCTGGACACCTTCCATAGACATACTTTTCATGGGAATAGTTCACACCAGCCACCAAGAAGTTTGCAGCATGTAACTTGCAGAATATTATTCCAAAGAGAAAATGCAGAGGATTTATTTCCCCACAAAGAAATGACTGTGTCTGTCCTGTGTATAGCTAAACCTCCAAGAACCATGTTATCTCCTTCTCTTTGTTTTATGCATCCCTGTTGACTCTTGCATTGATCCTTGACCCTGCACTGACCCTGCTGCCCCCTGACTCTCTTGGGAGAGCCAAGGTCTTGCTGGCTGGGAAGGAGGGTCCCCAGAACACCTATTTCATTGTTTGCATGGTTTTCCAAAAGCGTCAGTTCATCTGCAGGGATTTTATTACTGTTACACATTAGAGTGTGTTTCTCTGGAAGTTATTAGACAATTAACTGTACCTAATTATTGAGAACTCCCAGAGAAGTTAAAAAAACAGTAGCTTTCTAATTAAAAATATATCGCAGTTTCACAGAGTAACATTTGAGCTGAAAGAGAATTTTATTGATGAAATTCATTTAGTTTTGCCTGTACCCTTGCCACCCCTTGTCAAAGCCTGACCTCAGTGAGGTCATCCACAGAGCTGACTTCAAATGAGAGTAAGCCTGGGCCTGTAATGTATAATCTCTTCTTTTGACATCAAAACAATAGGAAATGCAATGGAATAATTATGTCACCAATAGGGAATCCAAGCTTAAATTAAGATTATCTCTTTTCGTGCAATCTGGTTTAATATAAACAGGTGAATAAATAGAGATTCAATAACATAATCTGCTCTGAGCTGGGGCAGCCTCACCTCCAGTGCTGGGGGCAGGTTTGGGTGCCACGATATTAGAAGGATCTAAAGATATTAGAGACTATCCAAGGATGGCAAAGGACCTGAGGGGAAGCTATATGAAGAGTGAATGAGGGCACTTGGCTTGTTCAGCCTGGAGGAGACTGAGAGAGCACCTCACAGCAGTTCAGAGCTTCCTCCTGAGGTGAAGAGGAGAAGCAAACACCAATCTCTGCTCTCTGGTGACCTGTGAGAGGACCTGAGGAAGCTGAGTCATAGAGGTTTAGGTTGGATATTAGAAAAAATAGGTTGTTCACCCAGAGGGTGGTTGAGCACTAGAACAGATTCCCCACAGGGAGTGCTCACAGGTTACCAAGACTGACAGACATCAAGGACCATCTGGACAATGCTCTCAGGCACATGATGTGATTCTTAGGGTGTCCTGTGCAGGAGGAGTTGCACTTCAATGATATTTGTGAGTCACTTCCAGTTCAGGATATTCTGTAATTCTGTAGTTCTGTGAAACCTACTTCTGACATAAACACATCTCATTTTTCCTCCACTAAAGAAAAGTTGCAGCAAATACTTTCGGTGTCTAGAACAAAGTTCCCTTCTAGACTGAAGTGGAGGAGATTCCTCAGTCTAATGAGAGGTCACTCAGGTAGAAGATAGTGTTGAGTTGTAGTCCAGTAGTTCAGAGGTGGCTTGGACCCCCTTGGCTGTCACCCACAGTGCTCCATCCCTGCCACTGCATCATACTACAGACCTGCAATCTGCCACCCTCCAGAGTGAAAAATGTTGCAGTCCTTTCAGCACAGCATTGCTCCATCCACGTGTAGTTGTGGGTTGAGCATGGGTCTCAGCACCTGTAATTGTGTGTAACACACCACAAGAATTTATGTTGTTTTATTTTTTTTCTTTAGGACTTAATTCAGCAATGTGCAAAATATTCTAGCTGGAGTGTGTCTTGAGCTGTGTTTTAGGATGAGGTCCTCTGTGTGGCCAAATATATCCTTGACCATCTCTTACATCTACATATATATGGCTGCCTCCATTTAAAACTCCTGCTGTGTAGTATCACATTAATATAGAGCTTTGAAGTTTCTTGCCATATAAAAAGACAAATCTGTGGAGATCAAAGTAAGACTACTGTACTGTCTCCCAACTTGTTTTTCTTCAGTAAAAAGCATTTTGAAGTTTTTTTACTATTCAAATGGTTGTTTTTCTATCAATTTATATACCTTTAGTAGTTTAGCATAATCCTCTGTTACAGTATTATAGTTCCTACACTTTTTCTTTGATGTATAATAACCTACTAGCTAAGAGCAGGATTGAAAGTCTCAGCCAGCTGGGTTTATGCTATTTACCCGGTAAAATAAAGTGGTGGAAGTCAGTCACAAATACAGTAGTTCATGTGCAAAAAAAAAAAAAAAGGGGGATAAATGAATATTTCATACTTCCAAGTGACTGATCATGGTAACCTCATAAGCCTTTCAGAAAGTATGTAGGTAAGAATAGAACTATGTTTGGACAATACTGTCATGCAGTTGCATGCAAGTATTCAAAAAGTTGAAATTTGCAATGCTATGATCTTAAAATAATATCAAATTTGCTTCTATAAGCTCTTTACATTTTATTGAGTAGAGCAAACTCCTGAGCACAGTTAACTCTTTTTCACTGGGAACACTTTGTGGGAGCATGAATGAATTACATGTAAAAGCCAGGTAAATGGCATATTGCAGCATGCTTCCAGTTTGATTAAAACCAACTTCTGAACTGGTGGCAATGCGTTTTTTGAGGCATGGCAGGGACTACAAGTGGTGATACTGAGAGATGTTATGACTTAGAAGACCTTAAATGTCCAAACAATGGGTTCTGAATGAGACTGGCCATTACTCCTTATACATTGCCAGTGATAGCCAGAGTTTCACCAGTTCTTTCCCTTCTTCAAGATTATTGCAATTACTTCTTTCTGTAGAGGCTTTGAAATAAATTCTCTTGGCAGGAGCTGCCAGCTCATTAATATTTACTGGTATTGGTGTTCTCCATGGGGCTGGCTTTTGCTGTTAACACCAGATTCAGAGTTGAGGACTGAGTAACCTGGGACAGGAAAACTTATACAGAGCATAACTATGGAGCCTTTTTTGCTCAAGGTTTTATGTATAACTGCAGAATGAGTAACGATTTCTGGGAAATGTCACTTTGCAGCATCCCTGGCTCTGCAGTCTGTGCCTATGACATGCTTGACATTGCCAATGTATTTACTGGGAGATTCAAAGAACAAAAGTCTCCAGACTCCACATGGACGCCAGTTCCTGACGAACGAGTGCCCAAGCCCAGGTATGTTTCATGTATAGTGCTATTGTTCTGTTTCTTCATGCAGGCTACAGAGGCTTTTTGATAATTTGAACAGCCTTGTAGGGCGCAGATACAAATTATACATGTTGAAACAATAAAGTAGAAGTTGAGTTGAATTTGGCTCTAAACTACGCAATTGAGATTTTTCCACTTAAATGAGATTTGTGTAACATATATCAGGCCAGCATCAGATCCACTTGGTCAGAATAATCACTTAGGAGTGGTGTGAGTTACACAGTTGTTGCAAATTGGTTCAGTAATGGATATATCTCATTACAAAGCCTGCACCAGTTCTTCAGTTTACTGTTCTATGATTAACATGCAGTTTAAGTGCCACAGTGGATGATTTATGGAGACCAAAAAAGAGCATTCCACTAAACTGGAGATTCAGTTTGCCTCATTCCTCCTATGAGTTGTTTTCCCTGCTTCCATGTGTTTGCATGCATCTCCTCTACTACATTCTTCATATTTCTTACAAGTACCATTTCATACAAGTTGCTGTTGACAGACACTTGTTAACTCATTTACACCAATGGCATTTTGCTCTGAGATACTGAGATGCATATAGATAAATCAAATTCATTTATCTCACTTAAGCTTCACCACTTTATTGCATGTTTTACATTTCTTGTGATATCTTAAATAATTTCAAAAGAAAAAATGTCTGAAGTACTCTGTGCAGTGTTGAACACCACACTATGAGAAGAATATAAAGCTGCTGGGAATATCTAAAGGAGCTCTTTAAAGATGGTGAAGGGCTTAGAGGGAAAACCATGTGAGGAGCAGCTGAGGCCACTTGCTTGCTTGGAAGAGACTGAGGGGAGACCTCATCACAATCTACAGCTCCTTGTGAGGGGAAGAGAAGGGCAGGCACTGATCTCTCCTCTGTGGTGACCAGTGACAGGGCCCAAGGGAATGGGCTGAAGCTGTGCCAGGGGAGGTTTAGGTTGGACATTAGGGAAAGGTTCTTCACCCAGAGGGTGGTTGGGCACTGGAATAGGGAAGTGGTCACAGCAGCAGCCTGACAGAGCTCAAGAAGGTTTGAGACAATACTCTCATGGCACATGGTGTCATTTTGGGGTGTCCTGTGGGGGCCTGGAGCTAGATTTTAGTGATCCTTGTAGATTGGTTCCAGCTCAGGATATTCTGAGTCTGTGAAGCTCCATGGTGAACACTGAGCTTCTGCCTAATCCAAATTTGGCCCATCACGTTTTGGATTTGCCAAGTATGGTATTACTGTGCTGTCCTTATTCTGAAGTTGTCACTCAAGAGAAGAGCCTGGAGGTGACTGGAAAATCTGGTAAATTCTGTGTCTATTTTCAGTCTGAGCCTTAGTAATGCAGCTTCTGGCAGTGTTGCAGGATTTTATTCTCCATTTTGCGTTGTTTCAAACAAGTTGTTGACACAATGGTCTGCCTTGGGAGTGCAAGGCTGCAAGATGGCTCCTAGATTTGGACCTTACTGAGAAATATTTGCAGGGAAGGGGAAAAGAAGAAGGAGAAAAAGGAGAAGAGAAAGTTTCATTACGAGTTTGGGATGAACCAATATCAGGCTAGCTGTTATGATCAAGATGGGATAGTATTGTGCTTTCTAAGCCTGAAGAAGATAATGTGAAGTGAATTTTGAACAGTGTTTCACATAAGATTTGGCAATCAATCTGCTTAATAGAAATAATCATTACTTCTAGCTCGTGTTGAAGTACAAGATAGGCACCTTTGAAATAAGGTCATTTTTATGTGGGTGTCTCAGCATGATGCAGAAACATTACTGCCCCTATTGATCTAACATTTCTCAGAACCTACCAGAGCCGTTCAGAGGTGTCACTTCCCTGTTTGGCCAGACAGCAGGGTTTGCTCGGATTTATGTTGATGTGACTAAACCAGTTTTGAGATTAAAACAGGATTATTCCAATCATGCTATTAGGATTAGGAGTAGATAGGTCTCCAGATTAGATACACAGAAACCTTAGACACCATGGTGCCAGAAGGCACAGGCTGCTCCCTTGAGTTCTCTGGGAATGTTCCCTCATGGGTTAATGACCTTGCAAGGACTTAGGAAACCAGTCATGCCCTTGATTTCCCCTTCTCTCCATCTGTTGCTAGCTCTACATGCAATGATAATCAACTAAATTATATTGTATATGAAGAGACACTAGCATACATTGTCTGCATGTAGTTTTCCTTGCTCAGATCTTGTGGGACCAGACTTGTTGACACAGCTAGTTCCTTTGAGTGCCATGCTACCTTCCCATGCAAGATTTATTTACCTAATGTTTGAATATTTGTCTAAATATGAGCAACACAAGTGACAGGGCCAGTCCTGAATTTTGTTCAAGTTGACATTACTCTTGATGTCAGTGCCTTTACCCACATCAGAGTAGATGAAAATTGGATGTTGCAATGTGCTTAGGATTGAATGGTCCATCTTTCATCTTCCTATCTCGCACTGGCTCAAAGGTTTGAAGAATCATAGTGCTCTAGAAAATGGGATCAAATGAGCCTTTTATTGAAGAAAATTACTTACACAATATTAAAAAACAAAACATTTTTCTGCTTGAGAGATGGCCAGTCCAGACAAGAAGATTGCATTACCTCTTAGGGGCAGGTAGATTTTAGAAATAGCATGAGCAGATTTGCATTTAAGTTGTTAAAGAATGACAGATAACTTTTCAGTGAAAGTTCTCAATGAGCTACCATTCTTAAATCATCTCATCCAAATTGAACAAAGGGTAAAACCAATGTTTACATAGCTGTAATTTGGTTTGTCTTCTCCAATAGTTTTCTATTAGATGTGATTAAAAGTGCCATTATTTCATACCTGTTAAAAAAAATTAACTTCCTTCTGTATTATAAGGACTGCTTTTATTCCAGGAAAGAGTAGTCAACTAGGCAAGTTGCAAATCAGAAAACACCTGTGCTATTGGGAAGCATTAAGCCAGATGCACACATGCTGTGATTACATTCCATATGAGTGGATAAATTACAAACTCTGTGTGTAGCACTTCTGATGATAAAACGACTTTGTGTTCATAAGTGACACATGAAGTCCTTTCGAATGGAGGACAAAGCAGGATTTTAGGTTTCCCTTGAGGGGCTGAACAAGTCCACCACACTTCTCAATCCCCCTCCAAGTTAAACTCCTGTAAAGCACATCAGATTTCCGTGAGAGCTTCATCACAAAAGGAAGCTTGCCCTCGATGTCAAATAAGTTTTCTGGCTTTATTATCTTGTTTTATATAGGCCTGGTTGCTGTGCTGGCTCTACATCATTAGAAAAATATGTAACATCTAATGAGTTCCCAGATGATACTCTGAACTTCATCAAAACACATCCACTGATGGACGAGGCTGTACCTTCCATTGTGAACCGACCCTGGTTCCTGAGAACAATGGTCAGGTACGTGCACCAAGTGACCTCCTGTCCTCACTGTACCTGTAAAGTTGTGCTTATAGCCTTGCTTCAAATACCCTCCAACTCCATAAAAGTCCTTGTTGTCCTGGGCATGAATCCAGCTAGGAATGGTGGCACAGCTGAGCAGATGCTGTGGAATTCCCTGAGCAGCTTTCAAGATAGGAAAGACCTCAGTCTTTTCCAACCATGCTGTGCTGGAACCGGATGTTGTAGCAAATGCTGTGCAGGGAAAGTTCACTCGCCTGTTGGCTTATGTGTCAATATTTGGGATGGCTCCGTAAAAACTTCAGGCAAGGATCAGCAGACAGCTCAGGAATATGTACACAGGATACAGACATGTCTGCCAGGATATGTTCACAGGATATGTAGATGTCTGTCAGGTAACTGGTAAGCTTTAATGTTTGCAGAGGTGTATAAGCAGAAGTAATCACATAGTCTGCATCCTTTCTATGGCAACAAGAAAAAAATAATAACAGATTTGAACAAAGACTCATAAATCAGCAGGTGTTAAATACACCATCCCCTTCCTATCAAAATATATTCCTACTCTCTGCTGTGGTCATTATACTACTTATCTACCCTCCAGCAGTGAACAGAATAATGTGACTAACTTTTGCCATATTTTCCTCTCTTCCTCTGAACAAAGGTAGAGTATTGTGTTGGGCACTTAGCTCTGGAAGGGTCAGAGTTAGTTATAGTGTGTAATAGTGTATAGTGTATAGTATAGTAATAGTATATAGTGTAGTAAAGTATCTTCTGTCAGGGTTTTCTGTCAGGTTCTGTACCTGCAACCAAAGACGAGAGCAGCAAGCTCCACAGAGTGTTTCCCTTTGATAGGCAGTACCATCTAACTGGTACCAAACCACCAGTACACTTGTTTTCAATAGATTGTGTCATCCTGAGATTTGATACCACCTCAGGGCTGGGCTTGCTTTGTGGCAGTTGTGTGATTATTTTTAGTGAAGTAAAATGGTGTTTAGTGTCTCACTATTGCACTGACACAGCTTTTCCTGACAAAAAATGTTGAATCTAGTTCAGCTGCTTTTAATGTGACAGAGCTTGAAGTTTTAAAAGCAGTTCACTCTGCTGATTCTCTATCCCTGTCTGAAGAAATCACCAGGCTTTTGGAAGGATAATTCCTAAATATCCTCAGACTCCTAGCACCCCTTCAGCTTTCTGAACTTCTAGACACTTCTGAACTTCTGGACACTTCTGCTGGCTATTGGATGTGTGGGCATGCAAACACGTCAAAATTCCCTAGCATCTGGGAGCCTAATTGGTACAATCTGTGTTGATTCATAGTCAGGTAGGAAAAGTGCTTAAATGTGTTTTATGATTGCTAGAAGTCTACCATACACTTATCTGAGGTGAAGAAAGTGATTAAATAAATGACAATTCTGTAATCATCTCTGTGACGTATCTGTGAAAATGCTCTGTTATTTTAGATATCGCCTGACTAAAATTGCTGTTGACTCTGCTGCTGGGCCGTATCAGAACTACACCGTGGTTTTCTTGGGATCAGAGAAGGGAATCATCCTGAAGTTCTTGGCACGGACAGGAAACACTGGTTTCCTAAATGACAGCCTTTTCCTGGAGGAGATCAGTGTTTACAATCCTGAAAAGTGTGTATCTGATTCTTTGTACTTGTGTATGGGTGACTTTGAACTTCTGATTTCCCAGAGAATAATTTGGCCCATGGAAACGGAAGTGGTTGGAGAAGCCAAGCTTTTTGAATTTTAAATTGTTTAGGGAGGGGATGTCTGCTTATCAGTCTCTGCATCACAATAAGATTTTTTTTATTCAGTGTGTGTAGAAAATAGCCCATCCTATGCAGCAGCTGATGGATAATTAAAAGTGAAGTTCTGGAAAGGAAGATTAATTTTATAATCCTATAAAAAACCCTGATTCCTCTCCAAGTAACTCAACAAGCAGCAAGCTGCTCTCTAAGGGAAATTTTCCACATTTCACTCTCCCTCAAATATGCCTAAGGGGGCTTTGAAGTGAGCCATAATCATGCAGAAATTTCAGCTACTTTGAGTGGTGGAGAAGAATAAACACAAAAATGAAGGGCCATCAGAAGCTTGTGTGGTGTGCTGTTGCTCTCCAATTCTTAATTATCCCTTGCATTTTTAATACTTATTTATATGCCTGTCAGCATTTTTAGTGGCCACTGTGTGTTCTTTTTCCTTGACTTGTTCAATTCTACCTTTCTTACGGGCTTTTTGGCAGAAATTTGTTGCCATATTTTCTTTTCCCCCTAAGGTTTCCCCCGGCTTCCCAGCAGAGCGCGCTTGTAAGCGCATTTCACTTTTTCCCAAACCAGGTGCAGCTACGAGGGCATGGAGGACAAGCGGATCACGGGCATGCAGCTGGACAAGCCCAGCAGCGCCCTGTTCGTCGCCTTCTCCACCTGCGTGGTCAGGGTTCCCCTGGGGCGCTGCGAGCGCCACGGCAAGTGCAAAAAGTGCGTGTGCTGTGGGGGCTGCCTGGGAGCGGGGAAGCTGGAGCACTGACGAATGCCACCTTGTGCTCTTCTCTCCCAAGGGCCTGCATAGCATCCAGGGACCCCTACTGCGGATGGGTGAAGGAGAGCGGGGTGTGCACGCAGCTGGTCCTTGGCTCCAAGTGAGTAAAGGGCTCTGGCGCTGGTGCCAGCCAGTCTTGGGCAAAGCTGTTTGAAACACGAGGCTTTTAGAGAGGGAAAAATGTGGGAAGTGTTTGTTCCTACCTTATTTGCATTCACCTCCGAAATGTCTCACAAATTTTTCTGACGTGAACAGTCAGCTGATTGGTAACTGCTGAAAGAGGAGGAAGAAGAAAATGAAAGAGCTGTATTAAGGTCCACATATTATTGAAAGGAGTGAATTGGATGGATATGTCTGGACCAGCCTACATTGGAGCCATCACAGCTGATTAAAGAGGCAATAGAATCCAAATTAAATTACTGAAGTAATTTGTCCACTGAAAACAAAACCAGTCCTTCTAATTTACTGTGCATTACTAAGAGGAGTAACAGAGCACAGTAAGGGCTTAAAACAGATTTAGAGAAGTGCTGGATCTCCCCTTGCTTAACAGTAGAATTTAATTATTTTAGGATAATAAGTCTGTGAAGGTTACAGGGAGCAAACCCACTTCAGAGCCCGCATTTCTTGGCCACTTACTTCTGACACGCCACATGACTGCCCACTCTGAGCTATACAGCTAACCTTCCTCATGGTAGTAGTGGAAGTGTAGCACAGACATCACAGAGTCTTGACAGCCCTATATCTGACGCCACTTAACCCTGCTTGTCTACAGGTCCTCAGTATATAATGGACAAGTTACAATCCCTGTGCTTCTGTCTTGTTCTTAATTTGCTGATTTCCCCCATCTGCTGGGGATGCTGTAGCTATATGTGTCTGTATATGCTTGACTACAAAAGGGTAGGCCGTTTCTGATTTGACATTTGGCGGGATAATGTTAAAATGCACCCGTGGCCATATCAGGTTTTTCATCACTCCAAGAGTGCTCGAGACTTCTTCAGCTTCCATTGAAGTTGTAGGGAACTTTTGTGCCTCACTTTTAAAATCAACTCCCACTTTCATCAACAGATCCATTGAGACAGAGGCTGTGCAGCTTGCAGTGATGAAGTCCAAAGTGAGCAAGGCAGCTCATGTTCTGTCCCATGCTTAGGAAGGGCGTCCAGATCAGCCATGAAGATATCTGGTGAAGTTCTAAGCTAGCCAACAGGAGGGAGAGATGTTAGGCGCCCTCCTGGAGAAGGTGACAGTGGAGCAGGTGTTTTAAGAACACAGAATGAGTTGTCTGCAAGGGCAATTACGCCTCAAGGGCAGGATCCTAATATAGACAAGGGCATGTATTTGGAAGTTTTCCAAGATTCTTGACATTCACCTTTGACCACACAGGAAGCTGGAAGAACAGCTTCAATAGTTATCCAAAATCACAGAGAGAGGCTGGGAGCATGAGCTGAGCACATCAGCTAGAAAAGTATGTGAGTGTCAGTAGAGCCCCTGAGTTGAAGGGAATACCTTTGGTGGGATGCACCTTATGCCTTGCAGCCTCTTCCAGTGCTGTACCTAAGTGATTGCTGAGATGCAGGTTTCTTCCTCAAGCACAGTACCTGCCCAGTGGGTTGGCTTCCTTCTCACACCGAAGTGCCAGGGGACCTGATTTACTCTGTGCACAGGTTAAAGTAGGGTTACAGTTGCTTCTGATGACATCATGTATTTAACAGTTTTAAAAATACAGGTCTTTTCTTCCCTTGGTAACGAGGCACACAGTTAATTTTTTAAAAGTAATAATGTAAAGACAAAGTATCATCAGAAGCCAAGAAATCATTAAGCGTTGATGAATAGCTCAAATGTGCATGTTGCAGTTTTTCAGCCTTTGTGTGAAATTTCCAAAGAAATAGCCAGTTTCACAGCAGGGATTTATTTCAATTGAACATGTGATAATTTCTTTCTGGTTATGCCTATGACTGTTGTTATTCATACTGTTTTGTTTCTTTCTATTATTTAGACTGGCATTTGAACAGGACATAGAACGTGGCAATACAGATGGCCTGGGTGACTGCCAAAGTAAGCAAAGCTTTTACCTCTATTTACCATGTGTCACAGTATCCTGAATGCTTCAAATCACCATTACCTGTCAGGCATTCTTTTGTAGCAACATAAGCTACAACAGGGACAGCAATGTAGCTAATGATGCGGGTTCAGAAGAAGAACTGTTGTTTAAATGTGTTTGAGGAAAATAGCCCAGTTCATGTGATTTATACGAACACTGGGCTTCAGAGTGGTTGCATAATGAGAAAAGCTCAGCTCTAGAGGATATTGATTACAGCAATGGCATAATGAATTGGGGTCATTGTCTTTATTAGCCCTGGTGGTTGGGTTGTTTATGTAAATGTACAGAAGTGGCTTAGTTTCTTGGTGTAGTCTGTGACTTGGACTACGTTCCCATGCAGCACAGTGAGACAGTGAAATATATCTTCAGTTTTGGATCCGGATCAAGAAATGACAACTACTTAGTTTGTGAATCTTAGAGAATTTTGCATACAGTCTGGACAACCTCATGGTATTAATGGTCAGGTACTATTGGCACTGCCTAAGAAATTTTAATGGTAAACCTTAAGTACTGACAGCGTGAGCTGGAAGCTTAAACACGGTCTTTAAACATTTACAGTTTTGTACTGAAATGCTTAAAAGTGCATAGCTTGCACTGTGTGCAAAGAAACCTTGCATACCGATTTCTGAGCCTGGAATACCAACATCTGTGTTCAGGACAGCTCTTGTTCCAAATGTTCTCACCGAGGTTGGTTTGATTCTGATCCCCAAATATTATTTATAAACCTCATGAAATCAAGACTCGCATTCTTTTCAGTGTAATTCGCACTGATGCAACAAAACTGGTGAAGCTGAGGAATCAATGTACAGTGAGAGAGTCATTACTTCTGCAATACAGAGAAAAATAACAGACTGTGCCATGGGACTTAGTGTGTGTCAGCTGCTCTGGAGAAAACCTTCTCATGCCTTGTACATCTGTATTCAAGAGCCATTAATTATGGCCATTACTCTGACTCATTGTGCTTGAAGGAGTACAAGGATTTCAGTCTCTGTCCTAAGACAGGGTAATATAGACTGTTGCAAAGATTTTTGAAGTAGGTGGGCACATAGGCCTCCCCTCTGTTCCCCTGTAAAGTGGGTTAGCACCAAAATCAGGCCAGTTCCCAGCTGGTGTATCTTTGCCCTTTTCAGCCAGTTCTGCTCTCCTTGGACAAATAGGTTAGGCAGGAGTGCAATGTACCTGGTATCAGTTACATATAAAACGAGGGTAGGAAATCGTTCAGGAACAGCACATTGTGCTCATGGAGAGAGATCTGCTTCTGTGGAGAGAGCAACAAAGCCCATGCCCTGCTTAAATCCCTCTTTAGCCCTGAATGATGCATTGAACCTTGACACTGCACAGGGGTAGATTTCATTCCCTGCTAACGCAGCTGATTTTATTACTTTGTGTGATCTTGGCTCACCTGAGTTTTGTCCTCATTGACTCGTTGCTGGTTGCATCCCCTGCAATGCCTTGCCTTCCACTAGGATTTGCAAAGAAAGCAGGGAGGACGCTGGCCCTGCTGCTTCGGTACCTCCTGTACAGAGCAGGTCATGAGCACTTTCAAAGCCAGACATTGTTGGGTGTGCCCGAATATTAGTTTTGCCTGGGTCCTTAGTGTACAAATCACATGCATATAAGTATCAGCTGAAATATCGGTTATTAGCAGCAAACTTACTTATAAGAAAAAACAAGATAGAAATAACGATTTTTTTCCCGTTATTTGTCTTTCAGATTCGTTCGTAGCCCTGAATGGTAAGGAAGTTCTAAGTTTCAATATTTATTGATAGCAAATCCATTTTGGAGGAATCACTTTTAACTAAACTTTTAAATATTTTCATACTTTTGTTATATTTAATGTTTCTTCCCAATTTATTTTGTTCATAGACATTTCAACTGCTTCACCTGATCATGAAATGTCTTACTACACAGTGTATGGTCAGTTTATGAGTGTTTTTAAAAATTCTCCCCAAATCCTTGTGTTAGCTAATAGTTACTGTACTCAAATAGCTGTTACCCTATTTTACTTGTCTTGTCTTGGTTTTGAGGGCCCGATTCACTAATCACAACTAGGATTAAGTCATACCTTTTGATTTTCAATCCCTCTTTTCTTGTCTTGCCTCAAAAGTGTCTCCATTGAATGAAAGTCAGGTATGGCCTATTTTAATGGCATGCTAGAAAACATGATTAAGACCATGCTTCATCTGAACACTCAAAGAAACACTTGTGTACAGTGATGCATCTTATCTGTTCACCAGGACAAACAAGAGAGTAGCTCACACCTACTCATGAGCTGCCCAGGCTGGTGTCATTACTACTACAGCAGACAGTCAGGGAAACCTTAGGGAAAGCAGAACTGTCCCTGGGTTACAGAAAGATCTCTCATAATAAATTAGCCTTTTACCCATGTGGTTTGAGCCTGGATTATGCCTCAATTCCTGGAGGTTCATGTCACTTCTAGGGTAAGTCATTTATGTTGTCCATTCAAATTTACATAGCAAATTAAATGACCTGAAGTGAAGAGGATCATTCCTGCAAGCCTAGAGTAGCAGGTTCCCATGAGGCAGCTGTTAATCTATGCTCATAGTGCTTTCTACCACTTTGTTCTGCATATTTGGAAGTAGATTATGTTGGTTCTTGGAGTGAGGAACAAATGTCTTCATGAGGAGTCACTGCAGAATAATTAATCACTTTAAATTCAAAACTAGACATATATTGCAATAGCTTATAGACATCCTGAACAAAGACAAGTACTCACAAGCCTAAGAGGATGTAGTATTGCTGCCAGTCAAGTCAATGGCAAAATTCCATGTGGGGTGGGTGCTTCCTTGTGAAGTTGCTTTCAGGCTGTATGAGACCAGCAGTTCATTAGGGCTAGATCAAATTCACCAAACGTTTGGCTGAACACAGCAAGAGGTATGTTAATGGGAAGTTGTGATGAACTTTTAATTGATCCTTTCATCTTGTGCCTGCAGAGTATGTAGGTATAAAACTAAACCAATGACAGCTCAGTACAGCAGAATATAAATAACTGGAGGCACAGTAATGCTGTTCAACATTTGTAAAAATAAAATCAAATTCCCCCTACTGTTTATTACCAGGAAATGAAAAATGTGCAGGTGGAACTTACTTGAAAGTATGGTAATAAAAACCAGTGAAGGGAATGTACAAAATCAAAGGCAAGTTGAGACTTTCTAATATATGGAAGATTCACGGTTTCATCTGCCTATACGGTTTATACTTTCTTCCATTGTGAAATTGCTGTTTTTCTAATGCACAGAGCAGTAATTAAAAAAGAGTAATAATAAAATCCACAGTGCTGAATGTAAAGGTTAAGAGAGGGGCTTTGGCATAGTGCTGATGTGCCAGAAATGTTCTAGATTTCCTGCTTCTAAATTAATTTCATAGTCTGCAGAGTGATAACTGTGGAACTGTGGTTCTGGATCCTGCCAGCTAGAGTATTAGTAAGTAATTCAGTAAAAACTGATATTTTAATCTAACCAAGAAAGCAGAAAAGTATTTCAAGTGAGCAGCAAAATTTTAAAAAGCTGAAAAAATACAGTTAACAAAAAAGAGTGCATTTAACTGTCTAGGCATGTCAAGTTCAAACACAGACTCCATAAATGAACACAGATTTTTAAAGTAGGACCTTACAGATAGGTGCAATGGAAACACACTAACTCAGCATTAACATGGGTTCCCAGTCATGTCCTGTCTTACAGCTTGTTTCATTGACCCCTTTCAGGTACATCCTGATAACGTGGTCTCTATGCAAGTTAGCTCCTCCCTTTATTGGTTTAGTTAAAATACCTATTCTGATATTTTTGCAGTTAGGCTTTCTTTCACTTACCACTAGTCACCTCTATTGATCTTCCACATCAGGGGTGCAGAAATTCTAGGATGAGGTAGTAAACCAGTCTAGGTAAACATGTGCATGTTTGCCAACTGTAGTGACTGGTCTGAGTATTTTTTTTATCTTGAAAAAACAAAAAAAGTTATGAATTATCTATTTTGATGTTACTGAGAACATGTCATAATAGATTAAGCCTCAGAACATTGATACCAGAATACCAACCAAGTGAATGCTCAGTGGGCTAAATATACCCTAAGTCATCTGAAGTTCCAAAAGAAGTCATTAAGGCCTGATTCTCTTCCTTTATGCCACTATAAATCATCCTCCTTCAGCAGACTTACTGCCAATCTGTAGCAGTGTGAATGAAAGGAGAACCAAACCCTTAATCTTTGTATTCTTGGCACCAGCCTCCTCTTGAGTTTGGCTCATGGGCTCTCTTCCTAAGGCAGTCTCACATGATCAGCTGCAAACAAGCAAAGTGCAAAGTCCACACAGGTGACTCAAGTGACACTCTAAGAGAGGATGGCAGACTGAAGGTCGGGATGCAGAAAGTCAGAGAGAAATTATGCAGAAGCCACATATTTAAACAAGGAGATTAAGCTAGATCACTGCAAAAGTCTAAGCAGCTTAAATTACCTTTGGAAACATCAATTCTTAGTGAATTGGGCCCTTATATTATCCCCTAGCCATAGTCCTTTCTCCCTCTATAGTATTGATTTAACTCTCCCTCTAATTGTCGAATTAGGTTGCTATAGCTGTTAATAGGATAGTGTGCAGATATTTTAACCTCTGAGATTCTAATGACTTGTGCATATTAGACCAACTATCAAATACTGATAGTATTGAATCTGTCTTTGTTTTAAACCTGAAAAAAAAGTCTCTTTACATTTTACAAGTGCACTTCAGAACAAGCTATAGTTACAGAAGTGCAGCCTTTCTGAATCATTATCTGTGCTCGTAGACACTAAGTGCTTTTACTCTGCCTCTGTTACTTGATTACAGCACTCCAAATGAAAAGTTTTTGCAAATAATAGAAGCACCTAAACCAAAATTTTTTAAAGTGCATCTATTTGATTTTTACATGTTTACTTTAAACAAAGGCATTTGAAGCACAATGTGTACAGTTATTCGGATGCTTTAAAACATCGGATGTTTTAAAACAAAGGCAGAATTTGTTTTCCAGATACTTTTGTATTAACCATTATTAACACAGAGGTACTGGCCACATCTCAGATGTGCTAAAGCCTCATTAAATTTCAACAAAGCTTATTTCAAAGTCAGAATGGTAAAAAATGGTGTAATGGGGGAAAAAAAGGCCCACTATATGTTGCAAACTATAGAGTGCATTTTAAAGGCTTGATAATAGCTGTGTGTGAGAGGGCCAGGACTGGGTTGCCAGCCACTTCAGTTTTTTCTCTCTTTATGAGAGAAACTTAAGTGGCTCACACACTTGTGGTGCCACTCTGCTCAGAGGTGAAATTCAGCCAGTGGGACTGGCTGTTCAGGCACTTACAGGACACTGTGATGCTGCTTACAGGAGCAGTATCACTGCCTAGTAGTAAGTGTTTGCAAAATACAGCTCTAACACAATTGGGACAGACTATTAAGGTTTAATCTGAGCCACCCTGCTTCCTCAAAATCAAATGGAAGAAAGTTTGTCTCGATTAGCTGTGTAAGCTTACTTCTCAGTGTGTACTAGACTAATACATTAGTAACAGAGAGAATATACTGATTCCTTTTTGTGTGGAGCCCCTCTTTACCTAGTCACCATCTGGTACACATTAATATCTTTACAAAGCCTTAGCTTTCCATTACCAGGAAGTTCTCCATGTATTGGCAACATATGGTTCAAGAAATTATTTTTTCCCCCTGAAAATGTGTCCCTTAGGCATATACTTCCTCTAGATTTCTGTATTATGAAATGTTTTTTCTTTAACCATACTTATAGGTTTTCCTTAGAATTCCTCCTTTAAGCACACTTAAAAGCGCAAGTGTCTGGAAAGAGATACAGGCATAAAAATACATATCAAACACAGGCATAAAATATGATTGCTACTTGATAAGATTTTCTTCTCTTTTACCTCCTTTCCAAGCAATGACTAATTGCTTTCTTTTGTTGAGTGCAGCACTATGTGTGACTATTTGTGACCAAATACTGTACACACTACTGTTGCTGCTGAGTGGGGCATAAACTTGAAGACTGGAACCCCATGAATGGCACTGTGTTTTAATCCCTGGGGAAAAGAAAACATGAAAATTCCATAATTTCTATTCTCTAGCCTGTTCTTTGCCCTGTTATTTGTCTTGGAGATGAACACAGGAGTTGACAAGCGTAAGGTGGTGTTGAAGTGAATGCTTTCAGGATGCAGCATATTCTTGCTTCAGGAGGATGTGTGTTTGCAGTTGCTGGACCTCTACCTGTCCTTTCGGATACAAGCAGTCCTGCTGCAGGGCTGCTGTGGAGTGGGCAGCACATTTGGATTGGATTTCAAATGGAGTCCTCTGTCTGTGTGTTACCAAAGTTCCCAGCCATGATGGGGTTTATGGAAACCTTTTAAAAGAGGATAACATTTGACTTCTCTTTTCTATTTGGGCGACATTCAAAACTCTGTCTTAACAAAACGCAGCATTAAATTGGCTGTTTTAAACAAAGATGACTGGGAGAAAACACACTTTCTATCATGAGAGGGTAAAAAATAATCCACTGCCCTTGTCAGTATAAAACTTTCAGACTGACATCCAGAGCTAAATTGTGTTAACGATTAACTGTAGTTGAAGGTTGGCTTCATGGTGAGAACACTGTAAATTTAACCAATTTTCTTTTCGAAGCATACAAGTTAATGGAGTTCATTGTGGCCACGTCCTATGCAAAACATAGTCCAAAGTGCTCCCATATATAATTTGATTCAGTAAATCAAAAGGACTCCTCGAAAACTTGCAGCGGAGCACAGACATTTTTTCACTCTAAAGTCATTAATATTCAACAGGACTTCTTTAAATCATAACAGCATCTTAATAGAAGCTGCAGCATTTTGCTGACTTCATCAGTAGTTCAACACCATGAAGCTGGTAAAAGGGCTGGGTAAAAAGAAGCATGTGGGTGCATCAAAAAGCTTCGGGACATTGGCAGCCAACATTTAGATTTTTGATTGTTGGAGTAGACTTGAGTTCATCTAGGTCCATCATCTCTCTCTAGATTTCTGAGAGCTGGGGCTGTATGGCTTTAAAAGCCATTTAAAACAGCATTTTTGAAATGCAGCTTTCAAAAGCTTTGTGCTTATCCAGAAGCTGTTTAAAATAAACTGCAGAAGCACAGGCTCTACCTGTCCAGCTCTGTGCCTTCTCCGTGAGGCTTAAATTTCAGCTCCTTGTGTTGATCTGTCTCTGCCCCAGTGAATCTCAAATTATTATTCTGACCAGTGAAGCAAGATCAAGGAAAGGAGCAGGGAGAGGGTCCCTGTTAGGGCAGCTTGTAGCCTGATGATTGAACTCCTCTCCAACTGAGATTCATCTAAGGAAGGAAAATTAATTTGCTGGGCTGTTCAAAAGGAGACAGGAGAAAGGAGGGCTGCTGTCAGTCTGTCTAGTGTTGTCTGACGAAAAGTGTTATATGTCATTCTGTCTGTGAATAATCCAATTCTGTTAGTTTGTGTTTGAGCATGTGTCAAAAATCCTTTTTTTAATGAGCTCTTTAAGGACAGTAGGTAAGGGGATATAGTTACTCCACATCAAATTATGGAGGCCCAGAACTCCTTGAATGCTGATGAAAATAACTCACTTTTTCACATGTGCTGAAAGGAAATTTTCAGAATGGTTTTGAGGTCAAAATGTTGTGATGTGGATGGCATTTGGTGCCCTCTCCCCAAAGCAGCTGAGCCACTGGAAAGTCCATGTGGGAGCTGTCTTTCAGAGACAGTAGACTCCAAGCATCTCAAGCATTTTAGGTCCTGATGATTTCAGATCCTGCTGCAAAGAGTGTATGAGTCTACAAACACGCCGCTGTCCCATCCAAACCACCTTTCAAATTGTGCTGTATTTCTAGTGGGGCAAGTTCTGTGAATGTGCTGTTTGTTGGGGTGTGTATGATATGTGTGAAGCGGGTCAGCCTTGTTCAGGGCAGCAGTAATGATGTCTAGAGCATTTGTAATGGAAAAAAGGCGTGTGAGCCCTCAGTCTCAGCTGCTGCCGGAGTTGGGCAGGTCCACGTGGTGAGGCATAGTCTGCACTGTCACTCTGAGCAGAAACGGTGTTTGGTCTTGGGCTTATTTCAGAGCCATTTTGGGCCATCACCTCAGACAGGACCAATAATGATGGTGCAAGCAGGTGCCAGCAGCTGGCCTGTGACATTGCCCATCTGGAGAGGAATGCTGCAGTGTGACCACGCTGGTGTTAGGCAGTCCTTCATTCCCTAGGGGCATAGGTAGAGTGCATCATGATGTCACCATTTTGTAGTTCTGGTGTTCCTATCCAGTTTCAGCCATGTTGGGCTTTGTTCTGTTTTAAATTGATTTTTTTATCTGCTTTTTGACTGAGCCAGTATCAGACAGCATGGGCTGACACTTTCACTCAGTTTCAGTCAGCCATGTGTACTGAATCCAGCCAAAGGATTCTTGACTTGGAGGAAGTGTGCTTACCCTCTTTCATACACATTTAACTCCATTGAGAAGCACAGAACTGCCAGCTCAGTGGCAGCACCTTTTAGCACCCTGATCTGGAAGGTTCAAAGCCCCTCTTCCTCTGGAGTCATGTTTTGAAGGACTTTTGAAACATTGCTCAGCCTAAGACAAGATGCTCTCCCGTCACAGAAGCAAAGCAGTGCGTGCATCCCTGAGCATGGGGAGGTAGCGTGGTAAGTGACTAATGAGACTTGTCTTCCCTACCTGTATTTATAATGTAAACAGGACACTCCAGTTCCCTAGTCCCAAGCACCACCACTTCTGACTCTCGCGCTCGACAGGGTTATGATGCTAGGGGACGCATGCTGGATTGGAAGGATCCGCTTGGTTCATCTGAAAATACAGATCCATATGTGGCAGTTTCATCCCATAATCATCAAGACAAGAAGGGTAAGGCCTTGGAAATGACATCCTGTGGTGAGGAGGGAGGGGGAGGAGGACTAGAGTGTAACTGCTTCCAGCTGGCTCAGAATAACATGTAATGAATCTCCCGTGCTATAATTAAAAGCTTATCGTAAAGTCTGAAACTGAACAGCCAATCTTAGACCCAGTCTTAGATAATTCACTGCCTGAGGAAACCACACAAAACAAACAGAAGTGTATGCCTTTATAGAGAGTTTTGTGCATGTGTTTGGGAAGGAGGGAAATGGGAGATTTAACTCTCTTTAAATTTGATCTTCCCTGTTCTCTGACAAAGCAAGATACATGGCTTCCTATTGTTCCTAAGGATGCATTCTTATATTGCCTTCCTCTGAATTCCCAAGGCAGCACAACAGTTCTCAGTTAATTTCACATTATTTCCATCTCTCAATAACCACAGAAATGTAGAATCATGAAGTGCTTTTATTTGGAAGGTACCTTAAAGATCATCTTGTTCCAAGCCCCCCGCCATGACCAGAAACACTTTCCACTTAACCAGCTTGTTCCAAGCCCCATTCAACTTGGCCTTGAACAGGAATGGATTATCCACAATTTCTCTAGGCAACCTGTTGCAGTGCTTCACCACCCACCCTCAGAGTCAAGAATTTCTTCCTACTGTCTAATTTAAACCTGCCCCCTTTCAGTTTGAAGCCATTTGCCTTATCCTATCACTACATGCCCTTGTAAATAGTCCCTGTCCAGTTCTTATATATCCCTCTAGGTACAGGAAGGCTGCTATAACATCTTCCCAGAGCCTTCTCTTCCTCATCCTGAACAACCCCAGCTCTCTCAGCCTCTCTTCATAAGAGCGATTCTCCAGCCCTCTGATCATCTTTGTGGCCCATGTCCTTCCTGTGCTGGGGACTCCAAAGCTGGACACAGCACTCCAGGTGGGGTCTCACATGAGTAGAGCAGAGGGGCAAAGTCCTCTTCCTCACCCTGCTGGCCCCACTGCTTTGGATGCAGCTCAGTATCCATTTGGCTTTCTGGGCTGTGAGTTGCCCTAACTCAGGTAATTTGCACTTGGCCTTATTAAACCTCAGGGTTCCCATGGGCCTACTTCTCAATCTTGTCCAAGTCTCTCTAGATGGCATCCCATCCTTCGGGTGCATCAGTCACACCACACAGCTTGATATCATCTGCAAACTTGCTGAAGGCTCACTCAATGCCACTACGTCTTTAATGAAAATATTGGTCCCAAAATTGATCCCCGCAGGACATCACTTGTCACTGATCTCCATTCAGACCTCAAGCCATTGACCACTATCCTCTGAATAAGGCTGCCCAGTCAATTCCTTTTCCATTAAATTGTCCACCCTTCAAGTCCATCTCTCTCCATTTTAAAGAGAAGAATGTTGTGGGGGACCCTGTCAAAGGCCTTACAAAAATCCAGATAAATTACATACGTAGCTCTTTCCTTGTCCATCGATGGAGTCTCTCCACCAGGTTGGTCAGGTTGGTCAGGTTGGTTTCCCTTGGTGAAGCTGTCTTGAGCACCTCCCTGTCCTCCATGTGCATTGGCAGAGTTTATAGAAAGATATGTTCCATGATCTTCCCAGGCACAGAGATAATGGGGCTGACAAGCTGGTAGTTCCTAGGGTCCTTCTTTCTACCCTTTGTTGAGATGGGTACAATATTTCCTTTTTTCCAGTCACATGACAGCCACATTTTTCAAATATGGACAGTGGCTTAGTAATTAAATCAGCCAGTTCCTGAGACTCTGGGATCTATCTCATAACATTTCACAGAACTTAGGTATGTTCAAATTCTTCAAGTGGTCCCAAACCTGATTTTCTCTTACAGTGGGAGGGACTTTGCTCCCCGAGGCCCTGTCTTATGGACCAAACACTCAAGAGGTGTGGGAAGAGAGGCTGCAAGAGAAGACTGAGGCAAAATTGTTGTTGAGTGCCTCAGCCTTCTCATGCCAGCCTTGCTTACCAGGTGTAGTACGCCTTCTTCAACCTTCCTTTTCTGGCTGACATACCTGTAGAAGCTCTTCTTGTTATTCTTGGCATCCTTTGCCTGGTTCAGCTCCAACTGCATCTTGACCTTCCTGACCCCATCCATACACAACCAGACTGTGTTCCTATACTCCTTCCATTGTACCCATCCCTTCTTCCACCACCTGTGCATTTCATTTTTGCCCTTTAGTTCAGCTTGCAGGTCTCAATACAGCCATCCAGTCTCTTGTCTTTCTCATCCAGTTTCTTTTCATCTGGATTTCTCTTAGCTTTTCCATCTTGGGAGATATCCTTAGAGATCTGCCAGCTCTATTCTGCTCCCTTGACCTTGAGGACAGTTTCCCAGGGGGTCCCATTGACCTCCTTGAAGAGCTGAAAATTTGCTTTTCTAAAATGCAGGGTCCTGGCTTTACTCTTTGCCTGACCCACATGCCTGAGGACTGTGAACTCCACCAGTGCATGATCACTGCAACCCAGGCTGCTGCCACTCACGACATGGCCAGTCAGTTCACTTGAGCTGGTACCATCAGGTCCAGTATCCTAATACAGATTAAAAAAACCTGCACTAGTTTAACCGTTTAAGTAAAACTGGGAGTAGTCCTAGTCACTGGGCCTCAGTCCCACTGTCTTCAGTAAGACCTGAGAAAAAAATACCTTTTTGAGTGTGGCCATTAGTGTACATTAAATGATGCATAAATGACTGCTTGTGGAGAGGTTCTGTGTTTTGTTTGTCACACACCAAAAGGTTGGGATTTAGGTGTAATTTCACAGTGCTCAGACCAGTGCTGAAGCACAGGGGTCTAATCAAATCTTGTCCTTTGGCTTCCACTCTCCCTTTGCCAAACATATAGAAAATTTGCTGCTTGAACATAGAGAAGAAGAACCTTTTCTCCTGTGTAGAGATGATGGTGCCCCTCATTGCATCTTGACCCTCATCATTCTTTCAGCTCCTTTTAATCTGCATCTCAGAGACTTTAAAATGGTTCCTTTTAAACAGGGAAGTTAGGTTCAAATAGCTCCACTGCCTAGAGAGATCTGAATCCTTGTTATTCTTCTCTAGGGTGTTCTTAGATCTCTTCTTTCAATCTCTGTTCTGTTGAAGATGTTTTTCTCTGTGTGGACTAATTAAGTACTCAGTGTGTCAGAAGGAAGATGAGTATGAGAAACTCACTTGCTGAGTGGTTAGGGCATTCACCAGGGGCTGGAACGCACGAGTTCAGTTCTTTCTGCAATGAATACTTGATATAAAACACTTAAAATATTAATTGAAATGTGGATTCTAGTCTCTATTGTTCATGCATTTAATATGAAAAACTCATTAGACAAAAGCATCGGCTGTTCCTAGAGAAGCTACTGGCATGCCAGACCTGATGCTTTGCATTGTCTGCCCAAACTAGCAGGTTGCTAGTTTCCCCAATTCTTTCCCCTCCATCTGACTCACTCAATCTTGAATTCTCTGCATTAGTTGTGAAGGCTTTCTGCAATGAGTGATGAGCACATTAACATCACAGAAGAGTCTTCAGCAGAGCTACATGAATGGCTGCTGGTGGTCTGGACCCAGACTGTGACCTCAGTGCCTGTTATTCATAACAGCCCCAAATACACCATGCCTCCCACAGTCCAGGGATATCCAGGGATTCTCACTGAATTCCCCAGGATTGACCTCAAAGAGCCTTCACAGTTCCTTACCATAAAGGCAATGGGCATCACCTGGCTGGCCCAGCAGAGACAAAGGCTGAAGCACTTTTCCAGTTGAGGAGGTCAGTCAAATTAAGCAGGAGATACAGTAAAATTTATTGAGATATCATGGAAAATATTAATCTAGTGGCCTTTGCTTTTAGGCTTATTTGCAGGAAATTGAATATGAAGATTTAAATTCCCACAGGCAGAGGATGTAAACTTGTCCCCCACCTTCCAGCTAATTAGCCCTTACTAGAGGAAAAAGGAAAAACTACCCCTGTTTGAACAATTTCTTTATAGAGCTTAATCCTGTAGACATTCTGGGCGAATAACTGCAAAATCTAAACCAAAAAAGTGAATTTCTAAAGCCTGATCAGTCTTGTCTGTGTGTTAAGCACAGTGCCTCTTTGCACTCTGCAGCCCTGGGACAGCTGAGCCTTGGCAGAGGAAGAATTTCAGGTGGTTGCAATACTCAAACTCAAAACCATAATTTCAGGTGCCAGGGAGTTACAGTACTGAAGGTGAAACCTCACACTCCTAATTCCAATTTAAGCTCAGTTTGAGACATCATCTTCATTTTTTAATTCCTCATCCCTTGCTCTTCAATTGTAGAAAGGCAACTGAGAAAAAGGGGTATCACTTACATAGCAAAGGCAGATAAACCTGCATGCCCTCCTTAAGATGGCATGTGATTTACCTAGCACTCCTCTTTCCTCTCAGCAATGCCAGCGGTAATGCTGACAGCCAAAAAATGAGGATCTTTTCTTTCTTTGTCCAGTCTGTTGGTAACACCTGTTACACAAAATACTTCAGGCAAGAGGACATTTATTAGAAAATCCAGTGTTCCCACTTCTGAAAATAAGTGGTATCTTTATCTTGTCCACTCTGAAAGGCAGAGGTGGAGGGAAGGGAAGGGAAGGGAAGGGAAGGGAAGGGAAGAAGGAAGGAAGGGTCAGAAACCACAATAAGGGGAAGATCTGCCCCTTTCTGTACCCAGAGGAATGCAGAGATGTGCATACAACTTAATAGCACTGTTTGTTATGTGTGGGTTCCTGCTTCACAAGTCTTTTGAAAAGCAGTGCTTAATAGATGGAAAACTGCTCTTAAAAACATCTTGTAAGCCACTAGCAGCTTTCAGAAGAGCATGCAGTGAAAATATTAATACATGTATAGCTGTTGGATTCTAACCATTTTCGCTTCAATTCCCTGACTGATGAAGTGGTTTACATTCAATACTTCCCTCCTCAGGGAGTGATGGTTACCAAAGAGCCTTACAAGCACTTCACAGGGTCATTTAAATATCGTGCATCCTTTGGTGCCTAGTTATGA